TCTGCACATTATTGTATAATTAATATGAAATAGAGTTACTATTCTAAAACGTTTGGGGATAGCGAACAAAACGTGACAATATACCATTACACCGACCCGGTTGGATTTGTTGACCGGGGCTCATACCAACATTCATTGTTCATTGTTTCAGGAAGTATTTTGTAGTTCTATTTCCTTCATGGCAAAACCCTCCCAAAACAACAACAACAAAAGGAAAAGAAAAAGGAAGGCACGGATTGCACTTTGAGACTGTGTGAAACAATGTAATAACTTATTCACAGACTGTTGGGAACAGTCATGGAGGTTATACAGTACATCTGCAGCCAAAGCCGATGAAAGCCCTCGGCCTATCCACAATCGCCTGGGAATATCCAACAGCTTGGCCTTGGCTGACTTTTACGGCTACACGAAAACACCGATAATGTCCGGAGAGTGTGTGTGATCTTTTTGTATAATAATTTATCAGAACAAAATTAATTTTATGTTGTTTTGTTAGTCTAGTTTGATATCTTTTTAGTATTAAAAATCACATAGTTGTTTTTTTCCTCAAATCCTTGAAATAATAAAACAAAACAAACTACACTAGACTATCCTAACAAAAAAAAGGTAAAAACTACAGTGGTAAAAATAAAGAAGCCTCCCTGGGCCATTCTTCGGTTGTTTTCGTTGTTGTGCGTCACTATCCGGCTTCCTCTCTCGGGCAAGATGGAGGCGATCTTGACAAGGGCAACCCCTCTGCTGGTGCCGCAATGGTATGTGTTGACCTCTCTACATTTTATCATTCTTAAAGTATTGGTTCTAGTTGTTTGAGTTAAGTTCTTTTGCATAGCATATTGTCACCCCGTTGAATTTCTTGATGTGAGGTTTTGTTTGCTCCGTGCCTTTGACTTTCGAGACGGAGCATGATTGCGTTGCCCGAAGCCTCTATCGGTATCGTCGTACTTGCTACTGTGGGTCAAGTCAAAAGTCAAGTGGATCTCTTGTCTAGGAATTACTTGGAAAACATCTCATTATTTACAATAATGATGCTTTCCACTGTCTTTCTATGTCGTTATACCGTTGGTATTTATGTCTGTGTTACTATTGCGTTGATTGCGATATTTCCAATTGTAATTTTTTTAGACCACCACAATGAAGTTGAAGGTGACCATCAACTTTACCATCAGATCATGACAACAGGGCTTGAAATAGACCGCGGCAATTTGCCTTAGTGCCTTTGCAATTTTCCGTAATGCCCTTAAAATCAAAGGGTCAACAGCGGCAATTTTTGGCGTGCCCGTTTTTAAATTTTTTAAATTTTAAATGTGCCAACATGAAAATAAATCAATATTTGTCCTGTGCTGTCACTTGTGGAAAAAAAAAGAAAAGAAAGTTACAAGTTTGAACACCGCGAAGTATGGGACTCCAGATATGGGGGAATTATTGATTTTTTAATTTTAAAGATGTACACTCGTGGGAGGGCGGGGGCTAAGGAGAAATCCTGTTAGACTTGTCTGAAATTTCATCAAAGCTTCAGTCAAACACTGCTCAGCTTGACAATTGTGTCCATTTTGTCATGGCAAGTGCAAACACACTCACAGCAATGATAACCAAACCTCAGCAGTGTCTGAAAAAAGCTCTGGATGAAAAAGAAGGCTGCAGATGTGAGAGATGTGGCAAGAGATGTTTCTCACAACTAGACGTCCTGATAAAACAGACTATTCACTGACGAAGTGGCTAGCCGTACTTAAGTACGGCTAGACTGCAAGTCTAGCCGTACTTAGATCTAGGTTTGGCCCTATCGACTCAAGCCTGTTAAGTACACAGGTCTCATTAGATCTAGATCTAGTAATTATTCAGGTTCAAATTACATGCAAGTCAGTAAGGCACCTTTTGGTTTTG